CAGTTCTTATTAAATTCATAAAAAAGAAACAATAATTACAGGAATAGGCTACTGGATTCTAAACCTTAAAGAAATACCACAATCAAGACGTTGGAGCAGAAATGAGGGAGAAACATCTAGAAACTTCTTAGGCCATATGTGCTGTTCGCAGTACAAGGGTCTTTCCCTGCCATTAAGCTAATGCATGGATAACATACCTCGTCTCCTTTCATTAATAATAATAATAATGTCTAGAGCAGTGGGTGTGATATAGTCTATAAACAGAGCTGCCAACTCTCAAGCATTCGCCGTCAGACTCACACAATTGACCCTTTTCACACGCTCTCACACCACACATCCATTTTTTCACGCAGAGAAAAAAATTAAAATAAATAAATAAATAAATAAATCGAGGACAAAGAGACAAGAGAATTTCTGACAGAGAAGGTAACTTTTGATATGGAACAAATTCTAAGCTCTCAGATTCTGTCCATATTTTTACAGTATTCAAACAATAAATATCGTTTTGGTGTTTTAAATGTGACATCGCTGCAGCGCCTCAGTTCAAATGGCACGTGATACAGTAGCCTACAGCTTAGTTTCTTTTGTTTTCACCCCAAAAAGAGGTAGAGATGACAGCAAAAAATAAATAAATAAAGCATGGAAACGGATTTCAAAAACCCATTAAAAGATTTAAGTGATAAAGGATTGACTGTGTATTCATGAGGGCCGCAGCTACTTATGTGGCCCTCTGAACACTTATAAAAGCTCCATTAACCACACTAAAGACCAGATTCCATGGCAAGAGAAAAACAAAACCCCATTTAAAATATACACAAGCACGGCACAATTTAAGTCTGGTATCCTCTGTAGAAATGTCTTTTCAACATCTATATCTGTTCTTCTTTAACTGATAAAACACAATTTTAGATTTCCATGGCAGACCAGCTCTTTATATCTTAATATAATATTTGAACAAAAAACTAGAACAGACAAAAAAGAAATGGCAGGCATGAATTACAATATCTCCTACAGCACTAGAACAACCCTCCCTGCCTTTTTCCCCTGCCTATATGCAAATATTATGCAAATATCACGGTATGTCAAAAGGATCTCTGGCTAGTTTGCCAAATTGGTCTAGATATGATGTAATTACCCCTCCTAATTATGGCGCTTGGTTAAAAATACCTGAAACACTTCCATGATTAAGTAAAGTAAAACTAAACTAAAAAGAACACGTGAGAGGAGCATTCGCGGTCAGTTTGACACACTCTTTATTTTACTATTTGTTTAAGGTACAAAGTAATGGAGCATTTTATACACTGTTGTGTTTCTTTAGAAACAAATAATGGACAAACAAAGTCTTTGGACGCATCAGATGTAAAGTTATTCGCTGTCAAAGTGACACCAAAATGAATGGGAGTCAATGGAATGCTAACAGCAGGTGAAGTTCTGCTACAATGGTGGCTCCCGTGAGGCTTCAACTTCCGGCTGATACATTACCCCCTTGGTTTTCCCAGGATGTTTTCACGTCCTGTCCTGGCTGTTTTTTTATAAAGTGATGAAAATGTCATTCCCTGTAAAGTATAGCTTTGGTCGAAATAATCAGATTTCCTATAAAGAGCATTCATATGGACTAATACAGATCTATTAAAATTCAACAATTATGTTTTTTTTTTAACAATTATATATTAATGTGTATATTTGCTATGTGGTTGCTAAATAGTTGATTTTGATTGCTAGGGTATTCTGGCTGTTTGTTTCCAACTCCAAGTCAAAAAAAAACATTCTCAAATCTATTTGTGGTCTCTAGAAATGACTCGGGTCCTCTTTCAATGTATTTTAAATACTTGCTGTTTTTTCAAATCACTAAGCACAATGAGTAATGGAAATTCCTGCACCTTGTCTGCCCCTTGGGGTAAACTTAATGGCAGAAAGAAACATCTTTTGAAAACTGATCAGATGAATCAATTTGCATAATCAGTAATGCTTTATGTCAGACCCCCCAAACCTGTGCTTGCCCAACACACACACACACACACACACACACACACATCATTCCATATTAGAAGATAAACACCATCTGCCTGTCCTGCATGGTTCCCTTTAAGTCATTCCATCCCTGTGTCTTTCCCACACCTCTCACAATAAAGCCCCACAGTAGCAGCCTGGACCTGAGGATTACGCACAACATCACCACAGGATAAAACAACCCTGGGTCATTTCCTTCACCACACTGTCATTCCTATGAATAAGTAATAAGAATAACATCTCACTTGCATGGCTGCGAACCTATAGAGATTTATATGCGAAAATATACAAGTCAAAGACGAGATACACAATGCAAATTTTATTTTGCACCATCATACCTTTTAATGTATGAATAATTAAATATTTGCATCAATGATCCATCAAGTTCCAAATAAAAAGAGAAAGTAAATGGATACAATAAAGTATCTTTCATATATTAAATATGCAATTTACTGCATTATCCAAAAGGTAATTTGTATAATTTATTTTTACATCAAAAATAAGTACTATTGATGTATACCGCGACAGGTATATAAAATACTGATATGGTTTAAGATTTTGGTTATACTGTACTGCCCATTCCTACTTACCTTTATGGTCAAATATACGTTTAGAACACAATTTCCTAATAACCAAGTATGCATAGCATATCTATGAAGAGTGAGACAGAGTCCACAATAGTCAAAAAAACATATAATTATTTATTAGGATTATTTCCCGAACGAGTCCGATACTGATAATTTAATTTTTGGTACTTGGCGATACAGAGTACCGATACCTGTATTTTCATTGGATTTGTCATTTTTAAATTTATTGGGTAGAAAATCCAAAATAATACAAAGGCTTAGTTGGCTTAATTTGTTCAGGAAATATATATTTCCTTCAGTTACTTTCATGCTAAATTAAGCCTGCTGAAATGTATTGAGCTTCTGTTACTTTCACTGTTCATTGTTTTGCTCTATCATATTTTACATGATATAGCAATACAATGATTATCAATACAATTATCATATATACACATGGAATGGTGTCACATGGAATACTTTGATGATGGCTTTATTTCCTTTCTGGACAAGCACAGTATACCGTGTATACATTTTCAATGGAGGGACAAAAAGCTCTTGGACTAAATCTAAAACATCTTAAACTGTGTTCCGAAGATGAACGGAGGTCTTACAGGCTTGGAATGATATGAGGGTGAGTCATTAATGACATAATTTTCATTTTTGGGTAAACTAAACCTTTAATAGCACAGTGCATATTTAGAGCTGCTCCAGCAGGGCTCAGAGTGAAATACCACAATTCTCTATTCCAATTTTGATACCACAGCAAAACTACTAGCCTAATTAATGTAAATTTAAAACATTAAAGACAAGTTAACAGTCTGTAATAATATAAGAACAAATAATCAAATTACAAATAGAATAGAACAAAGCAAGATCTAAAAGTCGCATAGATGTTTATAAAGTTACAAAAGATATTTAATATTTATGCAAAAAGGTTATATTTCCTCTAGCAATTTCCTAGAAGCTGCTTTATATATTGCACGTCATTTGTCAAATAGTTTGCAAACATAACAAAATGAACAATTTCCTTTTAAAAACTCAATCTACTGCTGCCTCATGAATGATATTATCCTCATGATGCTGCTTGCTTGATGCATATATGAATTTATCATCCAATGGTTATTTGTCAAAACAAAACAGTGATGAATTCGATTCACATCAACAGGCCTTCCAATTATGTTTGAGATATGTTGATGCGCAAACAAACTATATTATCCTTCATATCGCAACACAGTTCAAAAGAAGTTTCCTAGCAACTTCAAATAACCGTGAACTATTACAACTTAACATCAGCATGCTACTATTTGCTGCTGGCATATAAATCCTAATAAGCAGCAATTAGTGTGTCCATGGGTTCTCTTTCAAAAGACAAGGCCTTTAAAGAGGACCAGCTGAAGCACAGGCATATTAATTACCACTTTATTAGGACACTCCGCAACACTGCAGTGCTGAGTATATTTTCATCCATAAACATAAGGCCTGAGATAATAACACCGCCCATGTGAAGCACTTTACCCATTCAAGATTTGTACCATTTAGTTCTACATCAGTGGGCAGTCAGTGCCTCTGTGTGTTCAGGACGTGGGCAATGCTGCCACCTGAAGGTTAGAAACAACCATGAGCATGACAGAATTGTCTGCATTATGTCAAAGGCTAGATTTCTAGATGTTCAGAAGCAGTGAGTAAAAACTACTGAAACACTGTGACTTAAAGTCCCCCGTGTAGTAAAGATCAAGCTTTTAATGTTGTTTGTCTATGTGGTGTTTTTAATATGCTTTGAGACAAACCATTTTAAAAATTTATAAGTCAACACCATTGCTGATGAAACAGTGAACCGAAGGCCATAAAAAACGCATGAACAATAGTTATTTAGAACAATAATTATTTTCAATAATTTTAACTTAAGGGCTAAAATTATTGACTACATATATATATATATATATATATATTGACTTAATAAATAAGCATCCCTTTTAGTATTAGTATTGCCCACTTTCATTGGTGTAGTACCAACCACGGACAGCAGATGTAGCTATGGCACTAGGCTTTAGACTGCATGACAACTTCATGGTAAATCCATCTTCTGCACATACAGCAGGTACAAGATCTTTTCAGATAAATGGTTATATTGCTGTAATTCATACACGCAGTTTCTTCACTTCCAAACCTTCATAAACAAACACAGTATAGTATGCCAGATAAAACTTATGATGGCAAATTTGCCACTGAGAGTCAGACTATCATTCTTAGAAATCGATTTAAACCAAGTATTATGTGACAATGCCTTGTAAAATTATTTACAAACTCAACATTTTTTAAATCATCAAATCAACACATTTTCACTTGCATTTGGGTAATTGTGGACCCTTTGTTTGTTTGTGTTGGATGGAAACAGATAAGAGGGTGTGCTGCATGTGCACTTACCAGTCCCGCAGTGAGAGAGGGGGCAGACTGGCCAAAGGACTGACTCCTCATGCGGACCAAGTTATTGGGTTCTCCTGCGTGCTGCTGCCAGGCCAGCTGACTCACTCCTCCATGCATGCTGCTGGACAGAGGCAGAAGCTGCTTTCCTGTGGCACATCAGAGAAACACAGAATCAGGACATGGTCTGTACTATATACATGTCTGCATTTTGTGGTTAAGAACCAAATCAAAGCCAAGCTACAGATCGCTCATCTATTTAAATCTACATCTTTTATATAATGTGAACAACGTTCTGCAGTATTTCTAATCACTTATTAAATGTAAACAAATTTGTGGTATTGATCCACTAAAATGTACCTAATGGTTATCTCCTAAAGATTCTTGAATCTTGATTGTGTTTTGAAGGTGTCGTACAGTAGGTTTACATGCATCCAAGGTCAGAAAATATTATTTTTCTCATAATTGCAATCACCTCTTTTCTCAGTGTCTGAAACAGTTCCATCAAGAATGTTCCATCAAGAAAGTCACTCTAAACCCCTCACTTCCAAGAGTGTACAATCTACTCTGCTCTGATTGGTCAGATGGCCCAGTCTGTTGTGTTTGGTATATTGCTTACAGCGCCTCGAAAATAAAATGACCACGTGAAAGTAGACATTTGCTGCGTCCCAATTTACCTACTTATACTACGTCCTAAAAGTACGTACTCTTTTTGTGAAGAAAAAGTATACTTTTGAGTGTGTAGCAAAGACGTAGGCAAGCTTTAAAACATACTACTTCGTCATCTTAAAACGGACAGCTCCGTCGCGTGTATCCAGTCAATGTAAACTCCCGTCAATCATCTTGTCACAGTTAAAATCCTCCATTCAATCTGATATAATGTCTTACCATTTCAGAGAGAAATGTTGCACGTTGATCTGCCAGTCGTGGGTCTTTCATGCAGAGACTCTCCTCGTGTGTTTGCAATTTGAATGTAATGATGCATTAAAAAGTTATTGGCTATAAACATATCATGCCAGACTTGCATGTCTGCATGTCTATAAGTCTACAACACTTGTTCAACACTTTTCACTCGTGTTTGTAGCTCTAACCGTATCCTCGTCCAACGTGCGATGGGTTGTGGGTAATATCAGCCGTTAGAGTGTGCATCGATCTGCACTTCGGATTCTGATTGGAAATAGTAGACCACCCAGGTCTCTTTTGAACACTCATTTCAACATACTATGATTTGGGAGGTACTAATTCTATTTTCGAATACTATTTAGGACGGATAATATGCAAATTGGGACACAGCAGAATTGAGGGCAGCCAATGAAGACCATAGGTGACATTATACATATTTGTTACAAACCTGTTTGAGCAGGGAGTAAAACTGGAATTATAATGACACGTTTCAGGGAGTTCAGAATCGGTTCTTTCTTTTGTGAGACAATAACTCCCTTTGTTATGTACTCTGATCTTTGAAGAACTTTTACATTCACAAACAGCTATATTTTCATACTAATTAAAAAGGTAATATCCAAAAAAGACAAATAGAAGCAGTAAAGGCCAGATGTTCTTTCTTCTATTGAGCAACAAGATGTTCTTTGGATCATTCTCAAACATGCTGGAGAACATGATCATAAGCTTTGTATCTTTAGAAACCCAGTCATATTTTGTAATGGTGATGGTTTATTCCCTTATTTTCTGCTGCTCGAATCCGATGTTCGTGGCTATCTTTACGAGCCGCAATATAGTGAAGAGCAGCTGTGGCTGATGGAGGAACAGGAGGCGGCTGCCTGTCGCGGTCGAGGATCCCGGACTGGCTCGAGCTGGGCGGACTGCTGGTGCATGTGTAAACTATGAACACAGATAGAGTCCGTCTGCTGCAGAAAATTTAAACAATGGCAATTTCTCCTGAACGAAATCTCTGAATCAAACAGGGACACGGACATTTGTGTTGTGATGCGAACAATTCTAGTTTCGCCTGACTGAACATCCAGGTATCATGCAGTAATACACCATATAGACATAAATACAAACAAGGAGTAATTTACTAATGAGTGTGCCAATGTAACATTAACAGGGTTTGTTGTAGTGGGAAGGAGGAGGCGGGAACCAGCGAACATTTAAACATTTTCATAGTAAAATTAACAAATACAAAACAAAACTATAAGCCATCAGCCCCTCATTGACGACTGCTGTAATGTTACACACAACAGAAACAAAACACATTATAAAATCAGGTCTGTTTCTCTCTCGATCTGCCGTCGTTGCTCCTCATTTTATGCTTTTGTTCTCCTCCGTGAGAGACGCGAGACCAGTGTGTCTCACCGGTGTCTTTCATTATCACTCATGCCAATATTTTGTCCTCAAATTATTGTCCTCTTATGTCCCTCGCCCTCGATCGTCCTGATGGCCACAGCCAACTAACTAGAAATTTTGTGTGAAATGAATTTCAAACTCTGGTGACAGCTAACGTTAGCCTTGTAGACGGAAGAGTGATTTCTCTGTTTTTCTCTATTAGTGGGTGTGGCTTGTGGAGCTGTGCAATGTGGTGCATTGTGGGAGTTGTGGTCTTACATACAAATGCAACCTTCGGTTATTTTCTGTCTTTTCTCGGTCAAGAGGGCACCAATTTCAAAAATTATTTTACATTTCGACTACGTATATGATCCACTTTCAATAAAGATTAATGTTGAAATGGGTGAAATGCTCCTTTAAGCCAAAGGGGGACATACAAACTACTAGGGAAAGTCATTTGAGGTGTCTCACCGGTGAGGACGCCGGCCATACTGCTGCGTCGGGCTCTGCCGTCATCCTGACTGAGCTGCCGCTGCAGTTTGGTCTTTCCTGCAGCAGGAGACAGGTCGGGGTTACTCAGCTTCCTGAACAGCAGCGGAGGCGGTGCTGGCAGCTCCTGCTGAAACACATATAGATTTGTTTTTTTCCTCTTTTCAATGACAAACAAGCACATGCAAGCATTTTAACATGCCACAAGTGACTATTGAACTTCAGAATATATGAATAGAAAAAAGATGCTGCAGTACAGTTGTATAGTTACACCCAATACTTTCACAGAGTCAACTCAAAAGCAATAAAATTGATTTAAAAAGCTGCTTCTTCCACACTGTGGTACTGCATCACAGTCACACGGTAAATAATAAATCTCAAAACAAGGGCTTGCTGCCAAGATGCCAAGATGCAAGTGGGGGGAAATAATCCATTCATTGCGATTCTTTAACGATTCTGAATCAATCCAAATTCAGAAATTCAGAATACATTTACAAGCACATACTAAATAGACTGCTTATTCATTCGAGATTTACAAATCTATGTCTTGCAAAATGCAAACAAGCACCATCCAGGAGTGAATGTTGTTAAGTTTATTCAATTTATAGACATTCTACACATTTTTTTCAAATGCAACTGTGAGATAGAATGCAAAAGGGCGACATCATAATATAATAAAAAAATTCAAGGAAATAAATTGTGTTTTTCATTTTTAAAGTTCAAGGCAACATGGAATAATAACAAAAAATATATACAACACATGTATTTTGCCTTTGCAAAGCAGAATAATTAATCAGAAAAAACCCATAGGTGTATCAGAAATTAAATTGTGACTCCCAGAATCGTATTGAATCATAAGGTGCCTAAAATAATTAAATTAAAAACCACTAAAACTACAACAACAAAGTGAAGCGGTCATCAACACAAGAATTATGATGACAAAAACAATCAAATTTAAAAGGTGAAAAAGACGCCTGCAAATTCATTCAAACTCGCTGTGTTCTTCATCAGGATGGGAAACAGACGTTGCCATGGAAATCTGGCAAGAACCCTGCACTGGTCACATCCTCTCTGTGGTGTCACGAAATTCCAGAAACATCTGGAAGGCCTGTTTGTATTAAATACGCAGTGCTCATAAAGTCACACCACAACGTTCAAAAGTAAAAAGCCTCAAAGCAAACAGTGTTGTCACTAGCTCACACACACACAGAGAGTGAAAAAACAAACCAAACCCAATCCAACCAGTGACCACTGGAGACGCACACAAAAAATGACCCTGAAAGAAAACAAAGGGCAACAAACAAGTTTCACAATCACACTCAAAGTAATTCACCACCACTCGAAGGTTTGTCAGTCATTTAAAAAAGTGAGAGAAATTAATACTTTTATTCAATTAATACTTTTATGTCAAGTGACATGTTTTCAATACTGATAACAAGAAATGTTACTTGAGCACCAAATCACCACAATAGAATGATTTCTGAAGGATCATGTGCCACTAAAGACTGGAGTTATCGATGCAACACAATCGATGCAGAAAATCAATCCCGAAACTTTTGAATGGTAGTGTACATTAACTCACATTCAGAAGCAACACAATTCTTGCTTCACAACACAAACACAATCCTCTGCATCGCTTACCTTGTGCATGTTTAAGCGTTCTTTCTTTTCTTTTAATTTATAGCAACAAAGGTTCAGACAAAGCTACATCTTTAATATGCTTTAAGCCCCTGAAGTGCAGCAAAATTTACAGCAAAAAAAAAACATACATTTACTCCACACTGCTTTAACCCTCATCAAGCAAGTGCACACTTAATCAAATGACAGGCTAGATGATGAAGCCGTTGAGAAGTCCTCCCTGAGATGACAGTATCGGGGGGGTGACCATGACGTCAGTCTGGAGTCCCAGGGCTAATCAGATGAGGATCAGGGACACCGGTGAACACACGTGAGACTCTCACCTGCCTCTGTTGCAGCTTAAACATTAGCCACTTTTCTAACAACGTGCCGGGTAGGGCCAATAGCCTCGGAGTCGGACCTCAACTAGGGCTGTCGGCTGTCACGATAACCGCAATATTGTAATACCGCATCATTGAGAAGTCAACCGCAGAGGAAGCAAGCAAGCACAGAAACCGTGATATTCAAGTGTTTTCTTTTTTTCCACAAAGCTACGCCCTTCTTGTTTTACACTTTGCGCATGTGTATTGAATGTTAAATAAGTTATTGATAATAAAATTCGGTTTACCTTGGTTATTTGTACAGAGGCTCCTTGGATTTGCACATAAAAGCCCAAAAAGTGACAGAGTATGAGAGAGAGATCGACTGAGCGTGTGCACTTGCCTGAGTCTGTCTTTCAAGTCATATAGATATAGCTGTCAACATTGAACAATGAAAATAAGGGAGATTTCCCAGAATCCATCGCCAAAATAAGGGATTTTTTTTACATTATAAAGAGCATAAGAAACAAATGAAAAAAATATTTTATTCCTATGTTATGCTATGACCTCTGTAGCGGACACCAGGACTCGATTGTTTAAAAAATGACATGAAAATATAAAAAATAATGGAAATTTTTTACATAAACATCGTTTTTTTTCTTTCTTTTTTACTTTTTTTTTGCCTGGAAACGCTTCCAACACGCTTGCGTGTCGCGTGAAAAATAAGCATCTCTGGTTCTATTTCTAGCATGCACGCGTTTGTGCGTGTCACGCAGGCAGTGTACAAGCTCTATTCTGTTAACATGGGAGCCGAAATAAAAACCATAGACAGTAAAATAAAAACAGGTCACGCCACGCAGCTGAGACGCACGCAGCCAGTTTGTCTCTGGCCAGCGCGCGCGGCGCTGCATCCGAGTATGAACGACTTCAAGCCGAATATGTCCGAGCTTGTACGTCTCACACAATCAGAGCGTAAAAATACGGGATGTTTTACGGGACAATACTAAAACGGGAAGACAGCGGGAACAGAGATAAAATACGTGAGAAACCCGTTTCAACACCTTCATTACATCTTTAAATGAATCAGCAAACGTTTTTAACGGGTTTGTTGAATTAACCATTTATTGACCCACTCAAAAACAGTCCCTTGTAACAATGTTACTGTGCTGAGTGACAGCCTGTCTAGAATGTACAGAGATGAGCAATGCTAAAAACTAGTGAAATATCAGCAGAAAGCCTCTCGCCAAGAGAGATTTGAGGATCAGAACTAACAGTTATACATACAACAATAGCCAAATGAGCTTATTGTCAGGTTTATGTTCTGTTATGTGGCCCCTTATTTTGACATGCTCTTCTGTTTAATTCACTTCCTGTTTCAGCACTCTGTTTAGTTTCGGTTTCATTGGTTACTGAATATATCCTCGTTTTTGTGCCCGCAGACCACACTGTAACACTTATTTGGATAGCAAAATTAAAAATATGTAAATAAATTACAATAAATAAATAAATAAATGGTGATAATAGCACATATTAAGGGAAATTCCTTCCTCTTATGCTTTACCAAGGCTTCATTTACTTTATCAAAAATACAATCATTCATATTGTGAAACATTATCACAATTAAAAAATAACTGCTTTCTGTTTGAATATTTTTTTATATATCATTTGTTCCAGTGATGGCAAAGCTGAATTAGCAGTAGCCATTACTCCAGTCTTCACTTCTGTCATATGATTTTTTACAAATCATTCTAATATACTGATTTGGTGCTCAAGAAATATGTATAAAACAGTTGTGCTGCTAAATATTTTTGTGGAAACTGAGATACAAAATTCATTGGTAAATAGAAAGTCCAAAAGAACTTTTCGGTCAAATGTTTTGACAGAGTATGAAAGGGAAAACCACACAGTTAACTCATGACCTCAGAATCTAGAGGCCCTAATGACTCTCTAGTGAACGTTGAATGTTTATACCCAGCTCACGTTGTACACTTGTGGTTGGGCTAATTTCACTTCCCCAGATGTTTTTCCACAGGTCTCCTCTAATCAATCTCTCTCACCCACTCTCACATCTAGGCATCCCTCTCCATTTAGACCCAATCAGACTGACTGATGGCAGCTCACTGCTCATGCCTCAGGATGGATCTAGTAAAGAAAGCTGACTGATCACTGATAAAGACAAAGGAAAAGCATTGGCTTATCACTGGAGATGCCTGATTGGTGATTGGGTTCAGTCTGATTAACAAAAAGTTTAAGAATGGACTCATATTAAGGAGGATATGACATAAGAGGATAAGTTACAGTAGAAGAACTCAAAAGCTTCTGGATTGCATCTGTATATCAGCAGTTCAAGGTACACTGAAAATGTGACATTAACATAATTAGCGTCACACAGTTAAATTATCTGGTTTATATGACTGCCTCTCTAAAGGAAACTGTATTCAGAAAAGCCCTGCGTTGCCATTTATTAGCCCTGTGTTGATTTGTGTACAGCAGAACCCAAAGAAACCCTATATCGCTGTTGTTCCATAAGCACCACTTACTGTCGAAGAGTGAATTTGCATTTTCATTCAGTCCATCTGCTGTTTTTGTATTATGCAGGTGTGTTGTCTTATGTAGCATAATTTCACAAATCTAAAGTCAGACCCTGACTTACACTGAGTAACAACCTAACAACTTTGTTTGGATCATAATTAAAATGCAGTGATGCATTTAATTTCAAATGGCTTTATTTTTTAAGACTATGTTATTTCGAGTATAACAGAGAATTCTGCACCGAATTTGAGAAATCAGCCAACGAGTATCTTTTCTAAGTTTGCTCTACGCTGTCTAGTATTGCTCCGAGCTGATAAACGGTCCACGCAGCTCAAACCTGTAATGTGGTTTCGTTTCGTTTCGTTTGTCGTTTGATGGTTCTCAAATGCAATATGATAATAGTTGGGAAACGTGGTGGTGGCATCAGTGAGACCTCTAACAAAATTTAGTCCCACCGGCAATTTGAACGGAGTCTGTAGTGCTATTTACCGCTATTACAATTTTTTAATCTGTTGACAGTCCTACACTGTAAAAAATTTACTGTAAAATTTACAGTAACTTACTGGCAACGATTAGCCAGTAAGTTACTGTGAATTCTCTTTACAGTAAGGGTACTGTACTTCCATTTACAGTATTTTATGTTTATACTGTGAATTCA